CAACGATTTAATTTTAATTAATTATGTATATCCAAGAATAAATAAAAAGAGTCAAAAAAAGTGATAGACATTTTATTATTTTAAATTTATTTTTGTTATTATTTCTATAACTATATACTGTACAACAGGCTGAAGAGGTGGTTCGCTGCTTGCATAGAATATTTTCTATCGCATTTACTCTTAATAAACTCCCGTTGGAGACTCATCAGAAACATAAGCGCGGAAATGACACCGCATAAGATTCATTTTTAAGTTTTTTCCTTTCTTACACTTCACGTAAGTTCTTTCCTTCATTTTATGTTTTCATAAATTATATTCAAAAGACAATTTTACTATTTAATTTACTTATTTCAAATAATTTCAGGCTGATTTTATATATATGGATAAAATGAAAATTAAATAAAGATTAGTAAAATTTGATATTTATTTTAATTTCTAACGACGTTTTCTTAATTCATCAAAGCTTTTATTGAATAAAAAGACACGAATAATGTATATGTACATAACGGCTCGAAATATCTTTTCTTTCGAAGGCGTCTGATATCTGCTACGCTGTCCTCTGCGTATTTTCTTACGTGGCGGCTGGTTCGGAGCAACGAAAACAACAGGGCCAGCAGCAGCAACAGCAGCAACCGCAGTCACAATCACAACAGCAGTACCTGCAACCGCATCAACGTCAGCATCAACAGTTGCAACAACAACAGCAGCAATATCAGCAGCAACATCAGCAGCAACAACAAAACTATCAAATTCGATATCCTTATCAGCAACACAGACAAGAGCAATCACAATCGAGCAATGTAACACCGCAGGTGCACAAAAACACGCAATTGGATCCCTATCCTCGTCAACACTGACACAGGCAATGACACTCGCTTCCCTTCGTTAGCATCCACGATAAGAATAGTTGCGCCCCTTACGCCTGCCTACCTTGGGTATAAGCATCTTATCTCTTTTCCAAAGAGTATTTTATTTAAAGATTCATGAGACATAAGCAAGATAATAATTTTGTTTTATTTTTCTCTCTCTCTCTCTCTCTCTCTCTCTCTCTCTCTCTCTCTCTTCATTCACTAACGTTCTTTCCTCTTCCGGAATGAAATTATTGCGAAAAATCGTAATAATTAAAAGCATGAGAAAAGAAATTAATATTTATTTTTAGCTTAATTCATTAATATTGGATTTTTGCGGCGCAAATTTTTATTACGTAGTAAATACTGCGTCGATATGGTAGCTGTGGTATTCTTGTATTCATACGTGCACGTGAGTACACATGTACGTGTCACTTAAAGCAATTAAATACAATAAGTATTCGTAATTGGCGGTACAATTTTATATGAATATGACACAAGGAGAAAGAGAGATTGTGATCGTCCGCGATTCGGAAGAATAAAAGATTTATTTTAGCTCGTGTATAGTCGGAGTAAGCAGTTGGTAAACGCCAAATTACGATAGCCTCGCTAACTTTTGAATCTTTTGATTACCAATATTATCTATTATTTCTATCATCTTTTAATATCTCGATTTTCTCTCACAATAAAACAATGAAATGTAAAAAATGATAGATAATTCTCTATTCGTTTGGTGTCTCTCTTTTTTTTTTCTATAATCGAGTCTAATCTGTGATTTCTATCCATTTTGTTTATATACAGCGTGTGAGATGTTAGCGAAAACTGTTGTGTGTAGAATGTATAGAAAAATGTATGTCGATGTATCTCGAGTAAATACTGTGGTTTATTATTTTGTACGAGTTCAAATACAGAAAAAGAAAGATCTCTCGATAGCTCGTAGAGCGTTCGTTAGGGTACATGTAATGTTCCCAAAAAATAGTTATTATATATAATATAATAATGTAACTGTACAATACTAAAGAAACATGTAAGACAACATCTCTGAAACGCTGTGAAAATTCGCATCCTCTGATGCATTTTCCTATGACTCGTGCGAGATTTAGTTTAGACGCGTATTATTAATAAATTTAGTTAGACATGGGAACAGCGGAAACACACAATGAGATTTATAATTTCTAACCGATTAATCGGAATTGGTACTAAGCGCGAAACAAATGTCTCTTTTTACTTTGGAAACTTATGCTTTCGTTATATTTTTCCTTGTTGCATGTTTTTCGATATTCGACACGTTATAAATACGCGTCGCGTAAGATAGATGAACAACAATGACCAGCTTAGAGAAGATGTAAACTCAGTCGCGAATTCAGCGTGATGTAAACGTAGCGTACGTGTCTCTACACGAGAAGAAGTAATATATTTTCTTGCAACGTATAAGAAGCGTATAGATATTTGTAAAAAGGAATAGGATTTGTAAATAGAACAATTGGCGGTGTAGTAAACGGTACAGAGAAAGCAAAGGCGTGAACACTCCTTTTTATTTCTTTTAATACGACTATACATGTTAGAGCTCCTTTGTCGGTTGAGTTAGTGAGAGGTGCGTTTTTTAAAAGTGACAGAAAGAGGGAGGACACGTTCTCTTCTAAACATCTAAAAAAATAGAAAGGAAGAAACATATACACAATTCTTTGTACCAAGTTTGTCTGCCTAAGTCCTGATGTTTAGAAATTCTACACATTCGATCGATCATTATCATTTCGAGATATATCACGGTTATGCGATAAAGAAAACTTTAGATCTCTAGGAGAGAAAAATTAATACCTCGCATTGTATAGTACTCATCCATGTAGACGCCTCACGCCCAAAATATACTGTAGTCAACTCGGAATTGAACGGTATTTATTTACCTTTACCTAATTGCGATTTATAATAAGTATAATTTGAATATTTAACATAACTATGCATGATGTTCGTGGAACGGAGAATACTCCAAGTAAATCTGTTTAAATTTATGCGATAATGTTTATTAGATAATTGCAGACATATATGATCTCATATGGTCTCATAAATATACAGTTGTTAGCTATAATTCATTATAAACTCAATTGATAATTAATCTTCATTGGCCTTGAGATGCGTTTAAAATGACAAAGAAGCAATTGCATCTTGCACATTACGCAATAATTGGTCTTTGATCAATCAAATTTAAGAAATTTAATTGTTAATATTTTAATATTATAATTAATAAATATGTATAATATAATTAAACGGTAAATATACAGTATAATTATATTAAATAACTCGATGAATGTAAAAAATTGAATAAAAATTTTGCTCTTAAACAATTTATAAATAATATATTAATGTGGTTAATAAATACATGCAAACATAAACGAAATAAATTGGAATTATTCCGATTGAATTCTTCTCCTGTTTTTCTAATAAAAAAAAATCTATTGATTTTTTTTATTTTTTTCGTAAGATCAAAATTGAATCAGATGTAATTCCATCTGATTAAGGCCAGGCAGTGGTCAGTTACAAAGAATTTCTTTTCTTTTCTATCGAATTTCATACCTATTGAATTTCATACCTATATCTGTCCTCCTTTTTCATCATATTGATGACTAGAGCTTGTAAACGCAATCGGATTATCGAGGGCTTCTGGTCCGCAGTTGCGTCTCAAGTCTCACTGCAGAAGAATGGAGCGATGGAACGGAAAAGTGGCCGTAGTAACTGGTGCCAGCGCTGGAATTGGTGCAGCAATCGCACGAAATCTTGTTAAACAAGGTGAAGAAATGTTCCAATTACAATAAATTAATATTATGTTAAAAATTTCTTCGGCGAGAAATTTGACTTTACGATTGTACACGTTTATCTCGACTCGCGAGATAATTGTTGCCGTAACGACCACTAATTGGGAAGTGTAATATCACTTACATTCGAAAGAAAACAAGATATTGACGTGCTATTTGAAATGTTGTAAAATATTCAAAGTCTTATTATTAGAGAATTATTTTAATCCTCGTTTGAATTAATATTGGATTGGCAAGAAAATAATTGCGTTTTTTTAAAAAGCATCTATCAGTAAAAACGCAATTATTTTCTTACCAACCAATATAAATATATCTTGATAGAGTAAAGTTTCAGCTTTAAGAATCTCTTTTTTAAATTGCGATACGACAATTTTTAACGGAGTTATGAGCAATTAAAGTCAATGTTTCTTTTATTTAATCCGCGATAACTCAGTAACCAAAAATCATAGGAATATTTTTAAAAAACGATTTTGTAGGGAAAATATCAAGCTTTCACGATAAGTAGTCGAAAATTTTCTCAAATTTGTTTTGAGCACGTTACAAACTTACAAAGTGAGAAGAAAATTTTCCGTCTTTTTCAGCTAGTTTTTGATATGTAAAAATTACCAAACTCATATAAACTTAAAAAATATGGTAAACTTTTAAAAGTAGAGATTTCAAGTTTTAAAACCCTTTTTTTAAATTTAAATTTCATTCATTATTGACGAAGATATTATATATACAACAATATATATATACAACTTTGAGCTAAAAAAACGCAATTCCTTTCTTGCCAATCCAATATAATATGAAGCTCATTGGTGTGATCGTTTTGTTATGTCAGGTATGATAGTGGCAGGCTTCGCGAGGAGAGTGGAAAAAATTAAGGAAATCGCTGATTGTTTGAAAGATTCCTCGGACAAACTCTATGCCGTGAAATGCGATGTCACTAAAGAGGAAAGCATAACCGTAGCTTTCGCGTGGGTGAAGGATAATCTTGGACCGATAAGCGTTCTCGTTAACAGTGCTGGTATCACCAAAGAATCTTCGCTCATAGGTAAAGATTTTAATATTGGACAGAAGAATTTAAAGAAAACATATGAAAATTTCTTCAGAAGTAAAGAAATATTAACAAAATTCGAATTTAGAATTTATGCGAAGTTCTTATTATGGATCTGTAAGAGCTTTGCATAAATTTTAAATTCGATGTTAACATTTCTTTACTTCTAAAGAAGTTTTCATGGATTTTCTTTAAACTCTTCTGTTCAATCAGATATACAAAATAGACAATTTTATTATAAAAAAGATAAAAATGCATTATTGTAGGGAATAACGTAAAATAATTGAATTTAATTCTCCAATATGTTTTACAGATGGTACTTTAGAGGACTGGCGATCCGTGTTCGATGTGAATGTTCTGGGACTCTGTCTCTGCACACGCGAGGCTGTACGCATGATGCGCGAGACGGCGGATGAAGATGCCATCGTGATTCACGTGAATAGTTTGGCTGCCAAGAGAGTACCTTTTGTTCCAGGATTTAGCGTATATCCGGCATCAAAGCGTGCTATCACCGGCCTGGCTATGACTTTGCGACACGAGCTTGCGGGCACGCACATACGTGTCACAGTAAGACAATTAATAAATGAAACGTAATTATTCCTCAAAATGTACAATGTATTTTTATTGAAATCATTTTAAATTCTCTCCTTATTATATTAAAAATTATTTTTATACAATTAATGATAAGAAGTATGTACATATGTATTTAAAATAGAACAAGTTTATAAGATAAGAACAAATCTTTTTAATTACATTATTTCTGTATATATAGAACATTAGTCCTGGTTTGGTTGCAACGGAATTCATGGCTTCTTATAGCATGTTCTCCCCGGAAGTAATGGCAGCAATGCCGGTTTTGAATCCGGACGATGTGGCAGCGGCGGTAATTTATGTGTTGTCTAATCCTCCTCACGTGTTGGTATGTTGCATATACGTCTTTAGACAATATTACGTTTCTAAACATTGTCCTTTTTTGTCATATAAAATAAAATTTAAATAAAACTTAATAAAAATGATATCTTCTCCCTACAGATACAGGATGTCATATTGAGACCTTTGGGTGAATCGTGGTAACCGATTTTCAAAGCGACGATCAAAGACGAAATATTGAATGTAATTGGAATAATTGCTTTTCATAACTTTTTGAAATTAAAAAAGCGATTACTTATGCTTCTTTTTATATTTCTTTTCTTGTTTATATATTATATATTTTAGCATGGCAGATTGATTGAAAAAATTCGCTTATATTAGTAAGAACCACAAAAATATACAATACAATGTACAATAAAATATAATACTTTGTTATGTAATTCTGATTATCATAAAATAAATATATAAATAT